CCCATTTAGCCCTGTATTGATTTTTAATTTTCTGGTATCCAATTAAAACAGACTTATGCCTACAAAATGATTGCTGGTCGTGTTTTGGATAAACTTTCCCTGACAAAAGAAACTACCAGGTGACAAGGAAACATGCAGACAAGCTGTTGTGATCAAGTTGCTACAAAGGAAGATTGACTTGTTAGCTGAAAATGTCAGACAGTCAGTATGAAAGACTAAACACAAACAAAGTCACTGTTGACTGCTTTGTGAAACTGCAGCACAAAGATTGTTGTGAAGCTGATAGAAATACAATGGAAATCCCCTTAACAAGAAGAGGAATTATCAGGTTTTTTCAGCCAATGAATTCAAGATTATGAACACCATTTAAAGATTACAGGTAGAAGTACTGCCAGAAATTATTTGACTGCTGGAGGCATTCTTACATGGACAGCAAATGAGACAGGCTTCACACATTTGAGAAAAAGCATGTGAGAAAAATCAATGATAATAGCTATTTATTATATAATAATAATATTAATAATATGAAAATATTCTTAAGATAGCTATCTCAAGATGTCCCAGAGGCACAAAGGAATGCTAAGTCACCAGTAACAAGAATTAGCTTTCCGACTTTGAGATTGAAAAGGGTATAGCTCAAAAAATTTTCCCTGAGATATTTTGGAAAGCCACTTCCTGTTTTTAAACAAGAACAAACAAGGCTATGATGAATAAATTCGTCACCTTTGAATATAAAAGGGCTTGAAGTCTCATTGGGAGGAATGTGAAATAAAGGGATTAATAACCTTGAAGAGGATACTTTGTACATTAAAACTGTCCTTCAAGCATGAATAACTGAGTGCACAAACAAATTGAAGTAAGTTGATGCCACCACACCAGTAGATCTCAAAAGTCTGTTGATTTTCCCCTAAAGTCCTTTCTTACTGGATTTACTTAGGTTTTGTTTCTGCATCAGAAACTCGCCTAATGTAAATGGCATCTTCTGGATGTCTAGTAAAAGAAAAAAAATGTTTTGTGTCAATTAAAGCTTGATGTGACTTTGCAAAATGCTAACCAAGCTAACTGTCCAGTTTGTAAAATACAGTGTGAGATGTCTATTTTTTTTCCAGCCAAACAAAGGATAACATGTAACCTAAAGGAGCACTATGTTTCATTATCTAACTATCATGACACCTGTTATCTCAAAGGTTCTGTGCATTTGTAGCTCTTGGCAAAATGGTGGATGGAACATAATATCATAGCACTATAATTGTATATTAATATGATGTAACTTACTCCTTCTCATCCTCTTCATACATGTATGACACAGCTATGGCCAGCAGGCTGCCATCATTACTGAAGCTCAATGATGAAATACTGGTTGGGTAACGATGAAACTGAAAATGCAATTAGACATGATTAATGTCTGATCTTTTACAATGACCAGGCCTTGCAGAATCATCTTAAACTGTAATTTTAATGTCACAACACTATGAGCTGTTTTCATGGGACAGGAAATATATTTGAAACTGTAGAGTGCATTTGATCATGCTTATATGAAATTTGTGCTGCACAAATCTTAATTGTTATTAATATTATTAAAAGCAATTTGAAATAACACCAACGTGAAGAATGTAAGAATTAACATTAAAATGAGGGAACAAGGTTGGTTATGTATGGAAGAAATCAACAGAAGATGCAAATGACAGTAGTTCTCATAACTGTTTTGTGATAGGGAAACTAAGACAAAGAGTTCCTCCTTTAAAATCAGATAGTACTATGGAAAAGTATCTCCATATCACACTTCAAATAAATATTTTTCTTTCTTAACACTGGCCATAGGATTTCTAATTTGAACTTTATTTGGGTACTTTTCCACCATTTTGTTGTGCATTACCTGCTACACAGGTTAATGGTAAGAGATGTAATTTTTTAATATATTCACTGATACCTGGCAAAGTCGCTTTTTATTGAAGCCATCCCAAATATTTACGAAACCATCTGAACCACCAGTGGCAAATGTGTTGTGTCTGAAATGATTGGAGTGGTAAAATACACATTAATTTACTCATCAGGCTCTGGTGGTTAGAACAGTGGATAACAATACCCACTGGATAAATCACAGTGGGTAGCACAGTATGTTTTGTTAACACTTATCCACTGGATTGCATTATCTGCCCTTTGAACAACAGAGCCCAGGTCTGGTAGTAAACCCTGAATGCCAAGAAACATTACTGAGACAAATGCACAAATAACTCATGGACAAAAAAAGGATTTAGGACAGAATGTTCCAAAAGTGAAATAACGAAAAAGAGCAATATCGAAATGTAGGAGATCTGAAAGGTAACAAGTAGTCCAGGGTCACAGATAATGGCACGTCAACAAGTAAGTGAGCCAAAAAGGAAAATCAATTCACATTAATTGAAACCTACAGGTTTTGTGTATTCAGATGTTTCTAATTTTCTGTCAAAAATTTCTTTGCTCTGAAAGTGTGCCTACTAAAACAATACTAAACAATCATGATTGGCATAATATTACAGGGTAATCCAGCAATCAATTCAATTCATTAGGCTCATGCAGGTGTAGGTTGGTGGTACTTAGTACCCCCAAGTCTTCAAGTTACCAGGGGTTTCCTCAGATTGAACATGAAAGAGGCATACAATACTCACACATTATGGAAAGATATAGCATTAACAGGATATATATTTTCCATTCCTTCTTCTTTGATTCGGTGGCACTTAAAGGCATATTTCTTTTTCTGAACTTCTGGGCTTGGGTCAAAGTATTCCACAGCTACTCTGCCCTCAATAGAGCTCAACACGTACCCTGTGATACCAAAGGTCAGAGAAAGGTGTTACTAGTGATTCAATGTGACTATATGCAACTTTCTGTACAAAAAGGATTGTCACTGTCAAAATGGTACTCTTCATTTGTCCAAATGCACTCATTTAACTGTATGACAATTTTGTTGATTACACCAACTAACACACTTCCTGGTGAAACTGAGCCTAGCGTAAACAAATAAAGTATGGACAGCCAGGGTTTGCCTGCACATGTATACATGAAAGCAATGCAGAAAAACTAGTGTTCCCCAAGTTAAACCAAACACCTGGAAGAGAAATGAAGTAAGTCACACAATAACCAATGAATAAATGGGGTAAGTTTCAAAAGAAACTGTGGTGCTGCATTGGTTGGGAAGATACAGTAAGATAATTTGGTTTTATCAACTAATTTGAAAATGTAAATTAGCCACCGTACAGGGTTCCAAAAGCTGATGTTTCAAGCATTAGCCCTTCGTCATTTGTACTGACAAAGGGCAAACACTTGAAGTTTCAGCTTTAGGAACTCTTTACCATGGCCAATTTACATTATCAACTTGCATGTTAAAACCAAATTATCACATAATAACCAGTCTTATATAAATTTAAAAATTACCTTGCTTATTTGGGAAAGTGCGGATACATCTTGTTTGGTATTTCAGACTAGATTCCCTTCTTTGTTGTACATATGTCTGTGAAAAATGTGCATCAATAATGGGTACAAATAATCTAATTTATCAATTGATTATTTAATGAAACTCAGCCAGTGCACTTACATTGGTCAGAATCCCAACCAAGACATATCTTATTTGCTGGCATTATCCAAATAGAGGTATAGATTCAAAATGGATGTACATTGACCAGAGCTAAGTTATGGGTAACTGCAGATATCTAGTTTTAAAGAGAGACATTTCTCTAAACAGGTATCTGTTAGCATTGACCTTTTATACAAATCACCGTTAGCAGCTTAAAAACATAATTATTTTGGTCTTACCATGTTCCTGAGATCCCATACCATAACACGCCTTCCAGCCTAAAAGATAGCAAAATAAACTGTAAATTAATTAAGCTCACTTATGGTTCTGTAAATGTAAAATTTCATTAACCCTCAGGCCAGATGGGAAGTGAAAAAAGAAATGACAGTGACTGAATTTATTTGTATCCATTTCATAGTACTTACTGTGCCAACAACAAGACGCTCATCAGATGAAGCCATTGTGTAAACCTAAGACAACCAACCAAAACATATTCAGTCAAAGGATATCTTTTAGCACTTACACCCTTCTGTACTTATACACCAGTCAGAGTTCTATGGATGGCCAGGTAATTAATTGATAAATGAGGAAAGTGTCAACCCTTTCATTCCAAAGATGTGATTGTTAATTCTCCTATTTAGCTGCTGCATATTTCCTTGTAAATCAGTTACAAGAATTTGTTTTCAGATCAAGATAACAACTTCTATCTGATAAGTTTGATTATTCACATTACCTATTTGCTGGAGAATGTATGGATATTAAAGGGAGAAGTTACATTTTAATCACTTCTGGGAGTTAGAAGATTGATGACATTGATCATTACATCATGTCACTATGAATGTCTTGGATTCCAAACTTTAATAATATTCAAACCATTATATCTAAATTTCTCGTGGCATGAATGTTAAGCGCCATTTATTAAAGCAAGAAGGATCTAAACCAAACTATAATGGACAAATTTAGTACTATGTAATTGTGATACGGAGCAGTAGGTTTGATTTAAATACATTGTTGAATTCCTTTCTAGTTGGCATCTGCTAAAATCAAAGTGGACTTCTGACAATAGAAATCCATCACAGACTACAGTTACACAGTTACAGACCTTTTCAGGTTGCTCATATGATCCAGTACACTGATTTGTTCTTGGGTCCCAAAGTTTGACATACTTGTCCCAGCTACCAGTTGCAATTAACCCTTGAAGTGAACAAATACCGGTATTTGTAAATTACTGCATTCAAGCCTGACTCTGGATATTTGTCTGTTGCCCAGATCAGAGAAACATGCACAAAATGTGAACACCACAGCTATATAAAAATCAGATTAAAAAAATGTATCACCCAAGTCTGTAAGTGGTTGTCATAATTCTTCAAGTCATTCAGTTTCTAGCACAGTTTCCCAGGTTACTTGTTAAGACTAACGTCTTCAGTATAATACCCTATACACCCTAAGATCATTATGCATATTCTCCATACTATTTTCTATACATTTCCTAAGGTGCTGAAAAGGAGATTTTGCTTAATAATCAAGAGCTTCTGTACTTGTTGATCATTTCCAATATTCTCATGACCTTAATGTTTGATTCAGAGGTGATACTAAAAGGAGAAATTAGAGGCCAGTCACTCTTAGGGAGTTAAAGGGTTAGGTATATCTTGAACAGAACCTCTACAGATTACAGTGCATAAGTAATGATTACACCTACTATAGTTAAATTTGCAATTTTCATGTTATCATACCAGGAGTTGGACAGTGCTCCACGCATTTAATTGCATCATCATGCATTCCTAAAACTTGTTCAGCTGAAGTGTTTAGATCTACACTGAAGAAACAATCAATAATTTCAAATAACAAAAGTTTGATGCTAAGTATGCTGCATTTCCCAAAACAACTGCTAACAAACAAACAAACACATTTATTGTTATTTTTACAGTTACAAATATAGTGCAGACACAACTCACATAAAGTACAGGATTGTCAAGTCAAGTTGTGTGGCTACATAATGTGACTTTCCCTTTTTTGCTTTAAAAATAATTGATGCTTACAGGTGTAAGCGGTGTGAACATTCAAATATTTCAAACCAGTTTAAAATGCTCATTTTTTTAGTCATCAAAATCTAATCTATTCCTCAAATATAGAGGGCGTTTTGATCTGTGGCCTCCCTCAACTACTCCACCTCTTTTCTTGAACCAGGTTGGCCTTTTTCAAGTCAATAATTTACAATTCTAGCAAAAGAACAGGTATTATCACAATTTGATTCATTCTACCTTTCCTTCATTTCTTTCAGTGGTACATAATGTATAGGCTACATGGTCGTATCCAATAAAAAATAAGGCCACAGCATTATTTACAAATGTGCAGTGGTTCTGTAACCTTCTCCTAAGGCTTTCTGTATCAAATAATTTACACTAAACACCAACAACTATTCAAGACCAGCAGGAGGGAAAATGTCTGCTACTTTGTGTTCTTCGAAATAGTAAATTAGAAGGAAGATTGTTTAACAGAGTTCTTTTTATCACTAATCACTACAATCCCTGGTTAGATGAAGCGTAGATTATCGCTTAGGTCGTACTTACACTTTCAGAGTATTATCAAGTCCTCCGCTAAAAGTGTGCACACCGTCTTGAAAACAACAATCTAGCACAGCATATGGGTGGTTATATTTAAGACGCATGTTGTTGTTGTGGACATCATAAAGTCTGACTGTCTGTTGGAAGTATGATAGAAAACTTAAAGCGTTAGAAAACAGGCTGAACTAAAGTCACACGAAACCTCTAGAGTCAAAATTAACAAGTTTATTTTAGGAGAAAGTCGCTATTTTGAAACAAAGAGATTTAACGTTCAAGAAGTTAATTCAGAGGAACAGATTCTTACTGTATCCCATGATGACACCACTAAAAATGAAGCCGGGTTAGGGCTGAATTTGACGGACGAAATTCCGTCTGAAGGTGGTTGTTCCAGTTGAAATTCGTTGGGTCCGTCGGCCATTTTGGAAAATGTGCGCGCTTTCTGAGTAATCGCAATGCATTGTGGGCACTCCTTTCCAGCGAAGAATCCCGCGCAATACAGCGAAATTGCGCGAAAGACATCGCCTGACTCCTTTTACCTCGTCACGCTCGAAATTTTTCTTGTAACAACAGTATGTGAAACCTAACCATCACGGTTTTACTATTCGTATCTTCACGGAATTACTGAGATCGCGAAAAAGGGACAGGTAAAGGAGAATTCAATCAGATAAGCAAAATTGCAGATGCCGGTAGAAGAAGCTTTCCTACAGGCCTGCGAGTATGAGTGTGCAGTGGAACTAATTGAATTACATTTTGTAAATTGAATCATGATGCAAGAGATTTGGGATCGAATTTAAAGAAATGAAGTATTGGGGGATTTAAGTTCAGCTCTGATATAACTTCTTAAGTAAAGGGCGGGGGACGAAAACAGAACAGACAGAAACCCAAAAGAATTACTGGGAAGAAATTGTACCTCTCCGCTGTCATTACCATCCTGTCTAGGCTGGCGCTTTTCCAAGACAATGAAAATAATCTCGCGAGACAAAGTCATCCTGGAACAATTAATTAAGTGAAATATTGGTTTGAAATCGAAATCATAAGCTATAGATTTTGAAATTGAAAAAATAAGTTGTGTAAATTTTAAGTTAAAAAATGAATATCGATAACTAAGTGAAACAACGATTAACCAAGTCATGTATCAGTTCATTGATGGTTTAATTACAAAATCGTTCAGTCTCTTATTACCATTGTAATTTTTCTATGCCTACTCAGTTCACCTAAACCTTTTTTTGTTTCTTAAAAACACAATAATTAGCTAAGCTATTTTTCACGTTCTCAGTCGCTGGGCTGTAGATCAGCCGTGTGGCGATCCAATAAGTGGGGGCACGACTTTCACAAACTCTACCCATCGACTTCCAATTAAATACAGAGACTATTTAATACATCGGCTTCATTTAGTAATGATCTGTCCTCCAGAATGTCACTTGTCGTTTAAATAAAATAACAAAATCAAAAACGAAAAGAAAAACAACAACAACAAAAAACACTGAGCAAGTAGTAATGAAAAACCTACGCATATTTCATTATAAAAGGAGCTACTTCAAGATTAGCCTGCGTGATAAACCAATACCTGGAAAGTAATTGGTCATGCTGTCTGCCTCGCAATATTTTGAGTCAGTTTTCCATTCGATAGTAAAACATTGCCTTAAAACTGAACGACACCTTCTAATAACATCTTACTGACGTAGATAAACACTAAATAGGTTTGCAAAAACTGAAAAAGAACCTACATGGACAAGGATGCAGATATAGACACAAATTGTATATCATGGAGAAACTTAAAAACTTTTCTAATAAATTTTTTTCTCCGATTATACCAAACGTTTGGAAATTCGCTTGAACTGTTTGGTATCACGAAAGTGCTAACACATTGAAGAAGTCTAATAGTCTAAATAACCATACAATTCATTTTATACTACTCCACTTCTTATACTGCCAAGCTAGGAGTTCAGGAAAATTCCTAGTCAAGCATGAATGTAACTACACCATGTCATGAGACAGTTCTACGTCCAACGAACCTTCAGACGACGATCGCCAAATTTCAAACTATTAAGCTATGCGTGTCTGCTCATACTAATATACGTCCTTTTTCTACGCTGTTTGAAATTTGGCGCATTTTACCGAGCGCCGGAAGTCTGCCTTCAAATCTCACAACTTCGCATTGCAAGGGCCATTTCCTACGTTCGGCTCGTTTACCTGTGATATAAAGAGAAATAAGAAAAGAGAGGAGAAAACGTAACAAACATAGCCACTCGTCTTCCTCAACCTTTCTCTTCGATTCGATTTTTGGTGTGGGGCAATCTGCAATGGCCAGGGTTTGATTACCATGCAGACCTGTGACACCAGAAGTGCTTTAAGTTTCTTGTCGCTTCCGATCTTTAGTTTGACGCAGCTTTTATCGACAGATCTACCAGTTGGGTATTGTTTCAATTTCGTTGATTTTGTCTTAACTCAGTAAACTCTTAACCAATACCTGGAAGAGATCACTTAAGTTCTTGTTTGGTGAACGTCTTTCTTTTACATCTTTGTAGCGAAAACAATAACTCTTAAAATTTACAGAATAAAAATTCTGATGTTAGTCAGGCCTTAGGACTGATTGAAATTTCCTGTTACGACCCAATCCTCCAAAACAGCTGCAATATCAAACCGCTCCATTTCTTGAAGAATTCTGATCAGCCCATTTACCTGCAAATTTCGTCCAAATTGGGTGAACATAACATCAGCTGGGTTACTTTGTTGGCCTAAAAATTCCATGGTGTCCCTATCCACGCCAAGCTTTTCAGCCACCATACGAAAATCGTCAAAAGTTATATTCCGTTTGACGCTCAGCTTCATGCAAATCTTGCAGTAAACTCTAACTGGCAACTGCCTCACTTTTATTGCAAGTCTTTCCTCCTCAAAGAAGGGCACTCGTTTTGTCTGCGAGTTCTGACAGATCCCCAGGCCCTGTGATCCTGATGAAATAAAGGATCCGTTTGATAGATAGTTTCTCTGTGATTGAAACGGTCCTGGAGATCTACAAGTTTCCTCTGGTTGATTTAAGGCCAGTCCTTGCTGATAGCATTGCTGATGTTGCTGGTATGTTGAACCGAAGGAAAGCTGTCCATACTCCGATTTTGTTGAAAACGGTCGGTTTTCAAATGACGATTGGAAGTTTCCTCCTATAGCTTAAACATAAACAGTGATAAGTTGGCTCATTATTTCGTTTAGGATCCTAAGAAATGACCGGCAAAGGCAAACGAACATTGCCGTCGATAAACTGAGGATTATCAATTCCTCCCGGGAGACCTATCAAGTTTACAAACCATTTTTTCCACCGTGTTGGTCTATGCGCACTGTAGAAGGGAAACCAACTGAGAAATGGTAAAGTACCTTTCTGTAACAAAGGATCATTCACATGCTCTCCCCAAAATTGTACTGCATCACCAGTATCAAAGAG